GAGCAGGGAGCCCGATGCGGGACTCGATCCCAGGACTCCAGGATCATGACCTGAGCCGAAAGGCAGTTGCTTAACCAACTGAGCCACCCAGGTGCCCCTGAAATAGCCAATCTTAATTCCAGTCCCTATTCCTCCCAATCCCCAAGCCTATTCCTTCTTCTACTCTAAGGTATTTATGAATATATGTAGGTATATTTTAGATTTTTTTTTAAGAAAATGAGACTATATTAAAGTTTTTATTCTACAACTGGATTTTTAATATAAGGTATCTAAGAGATCTTTCCATGTTGGGACACACAGAATTAAAAAACTGTTGCACAGTATACCATTGTGTGGTTATATCATAATATATTAAGCCATTCCAATATTAACAGGTATTTAAAACTGTTCTAAATAAATGACTTCTAATAATCTTATACTCACTACCATAGAAAATGAGTGTATCATACCCATCTACTCAGGCTTTTGCCAACACTGAACAGTAACAATTTATAAAAAAGTGTGTTTCAATTTGTACATTAAGTTTTTACTTTCACTGTTTAATTAACAGTCGAGACTTTTTTCAGTTATTAGTCATTCATCTATCTCCTGTTATAGAAACAGAACTGACCTTGCTAAACTTACTAGTTCTATCAGTAGGTTCCTTAGGATTTTCTATATACAAGTAAAACTGTATTTGTAGATGTAATCTACTAATTTTTACTTTTTCCTTCCCAATCTGAATGTCTTTTTATTTTTCTGGCTAGACTCTTCAATACAGTCTCAATAAAAGTGGTAGTGGTGGCTTTCTAGACATTTGTCCATTTCATCTAAATTATCTAATATGTTGGCATATAATTGTTCATAAATAAAAGTATTTCCTTATGTCTCCTTTTATTCCTACTTTTAGAAATTTCAGCCTTTTTTTCTTGATCAGTCTACCTAAGGACTGCCTGCATTTTGAAATATACAGCTGTGGCATACTGTTCCTTTGGTGGCCTGCAGTGAGCCATGCATCTTGGTATTCATATCCCTTCCTACAGTGAACCTTGCTCGGCTATGTAACTAGCTTTAGCCAATGAGACATTAATAACTGTGATGCAAAGAAAGGACTGATAAATGCCACACACTGGAGCCTGTCTTTTGGTATGTCCCTTTTCTCACCATCCTGTGAGAAGCCTAATGTAGCCATGTGGGGAGACCACTGGCTAACAGTTCCAGCTGAGCTCTCACTTGACAGCCAACCCAACTTGTCTATCACATATGATTGAACTTGGAAGTCGATTTCCTGGCCGTAGCTCAGCTACCAGGTGACATTATGCAGAACAGAGACAGACTGTCCTGGCTGAACCCTACCCAAATTACAGAAGTGTAAATAATTATTGTTGTTGTTTTAGCCACTAATTTTTGTGTTTTCTTAAGCAGCGTTAGATAACAGATAAAAGAGCTGACAAGATTTGCTAAGGGATTCAATAAGGAGTAGGAAGGAGAATGATCCTGAAGTTTTAGACCTGGGCAAATAGAAGGATAAAGTTCCCATTTCATGAGATGTGAAGATTGTGCAAGGAACAGGATTTGAGGGTGGTGGGTGGGGTGTAGGATGAAACTCAGAAGTTCATTTTTAGATATATTAAATTTAACCTGACTCTTGAGATATATGAAAGCAAACTAGATGAAATCTCCTAGGGCTTTTCAACTGTTTTGCCAAGAACCACTGTTAAAAATTTTTATATTCCAGCTGAGCACAAAACATATGTGTATGTGTGTAAAAATAAAATTGAAGTCAGAAAACAATACTTATGCCTATCATGTGCAATGAGACAGTAAGTTATTTGACCACCTATCAAAAAGAAGAAAAAGTGTACAAGGACCAAGTCCTGTCTCACTTCAATGTTTAGAGGTTAGGGAGAAGATGCACCAAAAGGGAGAATGAGAAGGAAAGACTAGTGAGATAAGAGGAATACCAAGAAAGAGGGTGGTAACTGTTAAGCAAAATGGAAAAAGTGTCTGAAGGAGGAAACCGTGTCGAATGCCTGATTGTCAATTAAAATGAGAACTAAGAATTCGATAATTTCAGTGGGATTATGACAACCAAAGCCTTACTAAATGTCAATCAGCATACGTTGCTGGCTTCCCAACCACTGAAACTGATTCTGGAAAAACTATAAAAGAAAACATGGTATCTAAGAAATTAAAAAGTACAAATGAGAAACTCAGTGGAGAAAGAAGACTGTTTTCAACTGGTGTGTGTGTGTGTGTGCGCACGCGCATGGAGAAAAGCAGTTCAAAGTCAGCTCTTTCCTCTTCCCCATTATTAACCTGAAAACAATCAGCGTATCTCCTTGCTGCAGCAATCAGCAGTACTGGACAGCATGTACAACAAAGAAATCATTTATATATTGCTGACAGGAGTGTACATTTTTATAACCGGCTTGGAAAACATAATGTTTTTGCTATAATGTTACTAAGAGGACATTCCATGACCATTGCTTAGGATAAATAGTTAAGTGAAACTCTTGTATGTACATGTTCACCAAAACACACAGCAGCTCTCCCTAGCAGAATTATTCATACTACCAAAAAAAAAAAAAAGGAAACAACCCAACTCCCCATTATATTAGACCTAGTTTATGTGCCTTTTCAGATTTGCTTGAGCCTACCTGCCCACTAGGCTTTGGCTGTGTGCTACTGGAGAGTCCTGGCTACTGCTTCTCTCACCTTGTCTCCTGCCATCATCAGCTCTTTCACTCTCTTCTAGGGTAAGGGCTGTGCTTGGGCATGTTGTTCCATAGAGTGAGAGCTGTAACATGTCAAAAGCCTGTGTCTGATCTGTCTAGATCATTGAGGCTCTGGTTCTTTCCACCACTTCTGAGTTCAGAGGAAGTACTATGCCATGGAGTATGGGAGCTGGCTTCCCTAGCATTTGCCCAGAGGAGCTGAGTAACAGTCCAGAAATTTGGGACAGTTAGCCCCAGGGGGTAGACTCTACCAAAGAAGAGACAGGGAGATAAATCCTTTCTTTTCCCTGGATGGCTGGATCTAAAGTTTAATAGTGTTACATCATCTGCCTGGAAGACTGTCCTATATGACACGCAATCAGAGACATTTTCTTATGAAATTATGGCCAGCTCAGAAACATAATAGCTTGTAATGACTTTCCCTTATTCTCTGCCTCTCATTTCATTTTCACTCACTCTAATTTTCTGAGATTATGCCTCCCAACAAAACCTTAGCATGGTAGCTTTTCTTCAGGTTATTTTTCCAGGGAACACAGACTCATACAGTTATTGATGAAGACTGGACAAATAAACTGCAGTATAGTTCCAGAACAGAATATTATGTAGAGGTGAAATGAATATATTTTAGCTCTAGGCAACAATATGGATAAATCTCAGTAAACCAATATCGATTAAAAAAAAGTATTAAAAGACTACATTCAGCACAACAGCCTTTAAAAAAATTTTCAGAATTAGTATTAAACAAAATATTTAGGCATATGTATGGGATTAAACAATTTTTAAAAAGCAAATGAATAAAAACCACAAATTGTTGATATTCTAGTTTGGGGTTGGGCAGACTTTAGCAATTTTCATTATACTATAATTAAGTTAAAAAAAAAGGAAAAAGTCACATGAAGGATGACACTGTTTAAACAATTCTGTGCATCCAACTCCCTAACCCTTCAACAAAAAAGAAAAAAAAAAGAGAGAGAGAGGAAAGCTAGTGGTGGGGGGGAGGGGGGGAAGGGCTAATAAGATAATACCAAGAATAGTTTTTCAGGTTTTGATTAAAGCATGATTAGTATTCACTTAAACATTTCTGGCAAGTAGAAATTCCAGTTTAAAAAAAAAAGAAGACATCAAAATGATTTTTAAAATAACAGATTTCTGATACTCACTGCTAAAAGTTTATCTCCAATCTGAAGTTTACCATCTTTATGTGCTGCACCTCCTTCAATTATTTTGGTTACATAGATGCTATTATCCCCAGGAATATGTTGATTTCCAACACCTCCAGCAATGCTGAACCCAAGACCTGTTTAGAAAACACTAGTTTTGAAATTTCATCATTTAACGTGAATTTAAATCCAAAGAAATGGTTGAAAACTAGAAGGTGATAGTCTATTCACACTCATGTTTTAAAACACAAAAGAATCTATTTGCCTTTTTCTTTTCTTTTTTTTTTTTAAAGGGGGCTCAAACTCACAACCCTGAGATCAAGATCTGAGTTGAGATCAAGAGCTGGATGCTCAAATGACTGAGCCACCCAGGTGCCCCTATCTGCCTACTTTTTAAGTCTTATGTATTTGTTTTGTAGCCAGTGGACAATTATATATATACACATGTTCCTATAGTTACAAATAAGTTCCTTCCTCCCCCCCTTAGGTTACTTCTTAAAAGTCTTTTTGTAAATGCATTTGTTTGTTTCAAAGAGGCATTATAAAATTATGTTTCACTTTTGCTGCCATCATGATTGTGCTTCTAACAGTTCTAATGCCTTCACAAGATTAAAACAATTGAGAAAAATAATAAAATTTTTGGTGGTGGGCAGAACTAATAGGCTTCAGATATGTGGATAATTTTGTTCTTTTTCCAATATTCTATGAATTACTTTTATTTTTTTAAAGATTTATTTTAGAGAGAGTGAGCTTGATTGTAGGGGGACAGGGTGGGGGAGGTGGGGAGGGTCAGAGGGAGAGTGAGAGTTTTAAGTCGACTCTGCCCTGAGCCCAGAGCCCAGCACAGGCAGGATCACACAACCCTGAGATCAGGACCTGAGCTGAAACCAAGAGTTGGATGCTTAATTGACTGCACCATCCACGCTATGAATTTTTTAAATAAAGAATTTCTGCAATTCATAAATCCCATAGCTTTAAAACCAGACAAATCTGTAGCTCTCTATTCCTTGTTTCATTTGTTGGAATACTACTTCTTCCACGAAGCTACAAATTAGAATCAATATTTCCATTTATCTTCAATCCCATCAATGTTTTCAAAATTCAGAAATCAAATATGAACTGTCCTCATTGCAGATATAACTGCTAATGACACACATAAATATTTTCTTATTTTAACTTAGCCTGTGCATCTGCATTTAAATGTATTTTGTAGATTGATTAACTACAAGTTAATAGCCACACTATACATGACTTACAAGTGTTTAAGTAGAATTCTCCCGAAGACAAAAATCAGCAGAAATAATAGAGAAATTCCAAAAATTCACACACATTCTGTAGATTACCAGTACCATTAATCTTAGAATGTGTGTAACAAATAAATTGATAGTTACATTTATTTCAGTAATTTCTTAATAATCTGTCTTAGTTTGATTATTTCATACCTTTAGGACCTTTTTTTAAAGTTTTTATTTATTTATTTGAGAGAGAGAGAGCATGAGCAGAGTGAAGGGCAGAGGGAGAAGCAGACTCCCTGCTGAGCAGGGAGCCCTATGCAGGGCTCAATCCCAGACTCGGGATCATGACCTGAGCTGAAGGCAGACGCTTAACTGACTGAGCCACCCAGGCACCCCATACCTTTAGGACCTTTAATGAGCTTTATTTCCATTATTTTTTCTGATACCGGTTTCCGTCTTTTTACGTACAAGCGTACGATAGACCCTGCTTCTTTCAATGCTTCAACTGCTTTGCTATGTGTCACATCACGAACATCTACTTCGTTTACTCGCAATATACAGTCATTGACCCTGAGAAAAAACCCAAAATATTAAAAATAAAAATTAAATATTAAAATATCTAATTTTCACTTTGATAATTTTTTTGTCATTTTCATTTTTAAGGTAAAGAGAATTATTTACTAGAGAAAATATATATGAAGAAACTTCATGTTAAATTCCACAGTATCAAATACTCATATAAATAAATACAAATATTTTCCGAGGGCCAGCAAAAAAAACAGTGCAAATAACAGATTATCACACAAAAATATTAAATAATAATGACAGCTATAATTTGTACGGTTCTTGTATGCTTATTATGTGTAAGCGTTAAGGTACTTTATGCTTTATTTATTCAGCATTTTAGTATTTATTTAGCAATAACCACCTGCCAGGTACTTCTTTTAGTGTTTTAACCCTTACAACAACCTGAAGGGTAGTTATATATTTATATTCCTATTTCACAAATGGAGAAATTAAGGCACAAAGAGTTTAAATAATTTTCCTGAAGTCACCCAGATAATGACTGACAGAGCTGTGACTCAAAGAAAAGAAAATGGAGGTTCAGACTAAATAATTAGTTTAAGGTCACAGAGACAGTGGTGGCAAAACTGAGATAATCACTGATATATCTAAAAATAATTTTTTGACTTGCTTTTTCAAACTAGATAAATTTAAAAAAATAAAGTTATTTCTTGACATTTATATGAAGCTAAAGATTACATTACATTTAATTAAAAGGTTTCTCATATAATTTATTTTAATTTGACACAGTAATATATTTTTTTAAAGTTTGATTTGTTCTAGTCCTAACTTTCCCCCTTTAGCTCTGGTCTCACTTTAAATTGCATAACATTCCATTAGGGGGAAAAAAATCATCTGAAATTGGGCAGGGAAGGAGAACAAAAGACAATTAAAATATTAAAACAGATCCTGATAATAGCTTTCTTTTTTTTTTTTTTTTAAGATTTTATTTTTTATTTATTTATTTGAGACAGAGAGAATGAGAGAGAGAGCATATGAGAGGGGGGAGGGTCAGAGGGAGAAGCAGACTCCC